ATTCCAAGTAAGAAAGAGGACAGATAAGTAGAGGTGGTGGCATCAGCATGTAAGATAAAAAGAAAATAAGTAAATAAGGGAGATTAGGAAAACAGTGATTAAAGCAAAATAAACAAAGTGTGAAGGTAGAGGGATTACAGTCATCATGGCAGCCTTAAACTGTGAGGCAAGAAGAGATCCCCCTTGTTTTGCAGTGTTCACCCATCCTCTGCCAGTGTCCTGTTAAATGACCAAATGCCAAGAGGCCTTGGGACCATGACAACTCACTGGGTAGCCTCATCAGTTGACATTTTAAAATTTTAATTAATTATTTTACACCCTGACTGAATTTTCCCTTTTCTCCTCTCCTCTTGCCCACCCCCACCAATCCACTCCTCCTCTGTGTCTGTTAGAAAAGCCCAGACTTCCCATGAGTATCAACAAAGCATGGTATATCAAGTTTCAGTAAGACTAAGTACCTATCCTGTATTTAGGCTGGGTAAGGCAATCCAGTATGAGAAATGGGTTCCTAAGAGCCAGCTAAAGTGTTAGGCACAGCCCCTCTCCCATTGTTAGGATTGCTACAAGTAGACCAAGGTACCCAATTGTCACATATATGTAGAAAGCCTAGGTCAGTTCCCATGCAGGCTCTGTGGTTGTTGGTTCAGACTCTGAGAGTTCCTATGAACCAGGTCAATTGTTTCTGTGGGTTTTCTTATGCCCTTGACCCTTCTAGCTCCTATAGTCTTTCCTCCGGGGTCCTCAGCAGGATTCCTCAAGCTTGGGCTAATGTTTGTCTGTGGGTCTCTGCAACTGTTTGCATCAGTCACCAGATGAGTGCTCTTTAACAACAGTAGGGGTGGTCACCAATCTGGTCACAGGAGATGGCCAGTTCAGGCTATGTATCCAGTATTGTTAAGAGTCCAGCTGGTATCATCCTTGTAGATTCATGGGAGTTTCCCTTGCATCAGGTTTCTACCTGACCCCCAAATACTCCCCCTTTCCAGGCATCTCTTTCAGTACTCTTCCCCTCTGTCCACCTCCTAACCAGATCCCTCTAGTTCCCATCCCTACCCACCCATAGTCCACCCAAGACATCTTTTCTATTTCCCCTTCCCAGTGAGAACTGTGAGTGCCCCCTCCCCTGGTAGGCCCTCCTTGTTACTTAGCCTCTCTCTTGGTCTGTGGATTGTAGTCTGGCTATACTTTACAGCTAACACCCACTTATGAGTGAGTACCTACCATGTTTGTCTTTCTAGGTCTGGGTTATCTCATTCAGGATGATTTTTTAGAGTTCCATCTATTTTCAAATTTCCTGATGTCACTGTTTTCAACAGCTGAGTAATACTCCACTGTGTATGGAGTATTACAAAAAATGTACCCCTATTTTCTTTGTCCATTTGTTGGTTGACTTTTAAAGAGAAATCTAAATTTCCCAAACTTTCTATATTGGAATTGCAAACAAATGACAAATGTAAAAGAAAGAAAGGTAAAAGACTTGGATATTCATTAAATAAATGTTTTTTATCCACGCATAAGAAGCAGATGATGCAAATAAAAGCACAGACCCACACCGTTAGAATGAAAATGATTTCCGATTTATGTCTGTCAGCAATATAGATATTTACAAATAACTCATATGAAAATGTAGAAAAGCACATTACATCTCCACACGTCATCCACATTGGCTGCATAAAGTTCAGTGACAGTCTTTGCCAATCTGCAGTTACTTGTACATAGATATTTTGTGCATTAAAAAATAAGTATACATAATTTAAAATAAATTACATTACACAATTTACAAAGTAATATTAACAAAAGATTCACAGACAGTTGCCTCCTTACTCCAGCAAAATAAATATTCAGGTAGCTAAATTAACAAGTGTCCCACTTAGAGCCATATAATTTAAAGTGAGGATTGATATAAATTTAATAAAATTATATTTTACAGTAATGGATATTGATCTCCTCAAAATTCTGTGATAAAAAGGGGCAAGAAAAAGGACCAGAAAAGGGAATCTAAATGTTTCAGTTTAAAAATAAATGCAAACAAATTATCCCAGGAGTTTATTGAGGCTCAGAACTAGGTTATAAATAAATCATTACTTAAACAAAGAAAAGAAATCAAACAACTACAAAACAGAACAATAAAACGTAGAGCCAGTTATAGTCTAAGTAAAGTAAGTTTTTACCCACTGACAAGGTGGCTTGCTTCAGATGTTTCAATGTTTCTGGTCTGGCTTGACACAACGGAATCAAAATGCATGTTTAGCTCTATTTGTTTAACATTTATTTTATTCATTTAACATTGCAGACATAAGCACTTCCCACTGTCTTTGTCACATAAGAATTCTTATCACACTGCAAATATCTTATTGACAGAAAAACCAAAAAGAAATAAAAAACCAAGAACAAGTCACTTGCTGGGTCCACACCTCAGTGTTGGAAGCCTGAATCCCTGAGGGGCAACCAGGACATCTGAAGGCAGAACTTGGCCACTGTCATGAGGGCAACAGGGAGATTCTGTTCTCACACCCAAACTAGATGCCCAGTGCTCAAGCATGCTCTGCAAGGGTTCTTATAGACTTGTTCAGGGACTGCTGGCTGCCTCCTCCCTCAGTACAATGGAAACTGGGTAAGTCACATTCAAACTGAACGTGGAAATGTTACAAATGACGAGATTGCAGGACATTGGCAAGCATGATTTCTACAAATCTATTCAGATTTTAACTCTCCCTAGAAATAGGCTCTTTCCTGTTCATTATGGATGGATACAGACCTTTTCACTGTTGTGCAAAGTGGGGAGAGAACAAAGATTTCAGATGAAAATATGGTGAATAAGGAAATAGTACCTAACAACAATGTAAACATAGAAATTGACATTTTCACACTGAAGATTTTCTTTCTATTCATCTCTTGGTGTGCCACATGTGTGACTCTTTACTCTTTAGACATTGCTTTGATAAGAAATGTTCCACTTAAATGAAAATCTTTACACCCTAATTGATGTTTGTGTTTCAATAGAAGAGTTAATAAATATGCTATACTTTTCCTTGTAAGATTTTGGGTGTGTTTAGTGGCAGGTGGTTTGGAGGGAAGGAGACAAGGCTATGACAAGCAGGAGAGTAGAATTAGAGAGACTAGGCAGAGAGAGGAGTCACACAGAAGCAAGGAAACACTAAATCAGAGGAGTTAAAGTCATGTGTGGGAAGTACTGCTTTCTTCCTCCAGAAGCAATGCCTTTATCTTGAAATATTCAAGAACTTAACAGTTTTGGGAAGCCACTGTGACCATTGCCACCCCTCCCAGCATGTTCTGACACTTAGAATCCCTGTGCAAAAGGACTAAGCATGCTTATAAGGAATCTGTAGTAATGTGTTCCAGTGCAAACACCTCTTACAAAGCATGCTTTTCTTCTTTTGGATGTCTTAGCGACTTATGTATATAAAGCCTCTACTAATTTTAAGTGCCCAGCTGAGTGTCTTACATGTGATAACTCAATAAATATGGTCTTCTTATAAGTAATTTGTGCTTTATTATATAAATAATTAAAAGACATGCTTTAATGTACTCCTTTTCAATTAGCTTAAGCTACACTCATAAAAGCTTTGAAATAGAGCTTATTTATAGTCAGTATAGTGGATGGGCACTGATGAATAGGCAAATCAGCCCCTTTCAAGGAATATCAGCCATGCCACTCTTCCTGGGGTAGTCCAACAAAATTCTATACATGCCTGCATTTGTCCTTTCTTCTTAAAATCAAATAGAAAATCTCTTCCTTCCTTCCTTCCTTCCTTCCTTCCTTTCCCTCCCTCCTCCCTTCTCCTTTCCCTCCCTCCTCCCTCTTTCCCTCCCTTTCTGTCTCCCTTTCCTTTTATTTCTGCCCACAGATTGCTTTGGAAAGGCAAAGGTGGTCAACAGAAAATTTTTTACTGTTTACCTCCTGAATTATTAGCTGAATCAAGAGAATAAAGTTCTGGTGAAGTTACAGTATTTCTTACCCTAGAAACTCAATAAAGCCATCTATACATGATTATAATAACTGCCCATTTGTTCAAATTATCCAATGAGGATACATTCTCATTTCCCTATTTCTAACAAGAATCCATGCAGTACTGATTTATCCTGATACGGAATATCCAATTTTTTCCAACATTAATGTAGTTTTAAATATAATTATTTATTCATAAACACCCTCCATCTTCATGATATTGTGTATCTTATGACTTTTTAACCTATTTATATCCTAGGTAGGGGAACACTGCTTTGTCTTTATAATTAATCACATTTTATAAAATACCTTAAATGAAGCTTGTGTAAGGAATAAAATAGGATTTCATTTCCCAAGAATGCTGGGTGTTGCCCACATTTCATCAGAGTGTTACAATTTTTCACCCAATCATAATGGATTATGTTTGAACTATTTTGGACAGAGCTTTTTTATCCAATGATATTAATATAAGGATTATGTTGAAGACCTCTTGTGTGTGTGTGTGTGTGTGTGTGTGTGTGTGTGTGTGTGTGTGTGTAACAATCACAGGTTTAGAATAACAACATTATTTTTTTTCCTTTTCATGTTTTATTTCAACTAAATCCTTGGCTTCCAGTGAAACTCACCCTCCTGTCTGCTCTCTTTGAAATGACACATATCATCTAAAGCCTTACATTTGGAATAAATAAGAAATACTTACCACATTTTTCATATTGAACTATATAAAAAGATTTTCATTTGGGGGATTACAACATCCTCTTAACTCAGAATTCTTTTGTAATCTTTGCAGAAAATGCTGTTCTAATGGACAGCAGGGGGAGCTCATACCTAGTCTATGAAGGCAAATACCTCACCACCCAAACCACAGTTCCAGCAATACACAAGTGTTTAAGCTTAAAAACAAACAAAACAAAGCAAAATCCCAAAGGTGTTTACTGTATATAAAGACTGGAAAGCATAGTGGTCCAGAGGCTAATTGCAGTAGTTACTGCTAGAAATATGTGACTTTTTTTTCCATGACACCGTTTAACTTCCTTTTTAGAAGAAAGAAGTGAGAAATATTCCACGGTAAAATTTCCCCAACAGTCCTAAGTAATGACTATAAATTGTGACCTGTGAGATCAAACCTGGTAGACAGAGAGTATACAACTGAAAACTAACAATTGTATAATATGGAGCTAGCTTTAAAAACACATCTACAGAGGAAGATGGGTCCACAAACTAAGACATGTAAATATAGCCTGTTGTTTTTTTCATGGAAAAGAGTGATGTCACTGTTTTTCCTGCTGAGTATCTTTTCTGGCACCATGGAACAATGACAGTGTGGTGAGCTGACTGAAAACATTTCCTGTTTGATCTTTTGTTTAAAAGGCTTGTGACCATTGCTCTAGATATTTAAGCAAGCTCTGGACAAGATCACTCACTCTTCTCTTCTTAAGTTTTAGGTTTTAGAATCATACTGCTTCAGATGTCAGTCATGAGAAGGGCAAAAGACCATGACAGTGAAATACAGCCTACATGGTGGGATGTCAACCTCACACCAAGAAAGCAAATTATGAAGAAAGAAAAGCTAACACATAATTGTGATTTTTTTGTTACAAAAATCATCAGTACATTATTTTCTCCATCTGCTCAAAATTACGAAGACAACCAGTTTTTTCTTTTCTTTTCTTCTTCTTTTTTTAAACAAAGATAACAAATATATAAATCTCATCAGAAACAGCCTTCCAAGAGCAACTGCAACCCAACCAGGAGCTTCCCACCTTTTGGAGGTTGATGGGTTAGGGACTTCAACACTTGAATTCTTGCCAATTTGTCAGTTTCATAATGGCTGTAGTGAGAAGGAAGAGTGTAGACAGCAGGTGTAATAGCAGATTCGATCCTGTTACCAACAAGACTGAACTAACTCTCTTCCAAGTACAAGCTTGCAAATGTCTCCACAGCACTCCTGGCACAGATGTCTTCATCCCATATGAAAAGAGACAGTTCCTATGGCAATACTGGTTAAGTGCCTATCATGCTGCACTAATATAGTGCAAAATGTGCCTTCCATATAGCAAAAAGATGTAGGCAACCAGTGTGAAATTAGGGAAAGTAGAAATGTATTAACACAAGCATATTTGTTTTCTAGACAATAACCACTATAAAATACCGAACTTGAGGATTCTGTCTTCTAAGGTACTAATACGCGTCCAGCATTCACACATTGGAGAGAGACAAGAATAGTCTTATAAAAGAGTTTGTCTCTGAAATGCAGTCCAATAAAAGCTACCATCAACCATGAAGATGCAAAATTATGGGTTCTCCATCTAGCATAGGACTTTATCTTCTTTACTGTTAAACGTTTATTATTAACAAGTATATTAGATGACATCATAATGTACGCCATTTGATCGAGTATACATGTTGTTATACTTAAGTGTAGAATTGTAAAACCTTCATTATGAACTCTTCATGCTAGAAAGTTCTGTGGGTTAGTGCTGCAAGCAGTCTTGCATCTGGCTTCCCAATCTTGACCAATTTCCTCACGACTTTTTTAGGGATCAAAGTGGTTTGTTTTCAATCGGTAGATTTCAGCAAAGATGGTATAAAACTCTCCAGACACAACATGCGTTCCACTGCATCTCCTAGAATTCTCAAGGTTGACTGTCTGTATGTCAGTGGTACTGTCTTGAATATTCCCAGTGGGAGGAGGGTTCTCTCTCTCTCTCTCTCTCTCTCTCTCTCTCTCTCTCTCTCTCTCTTTCTTAACGATGGTGTTCATAACAATTTACGTTAATTATAAGTCACACATTTGAATACTGGCACTGTGGGCCCTGGATGTCTACTACAAAGACAAAAGGCCAAGTCTGGTTGTTTCCAGGAATAGTCGACATTACATATCTGCGTCTCCATCATATGCTAAGGTTAAAGGTTTGAGACGGTTATTTTGCCGTCTTTGGGGTTTCTTTGGCTTCTTGCTGTAGAAAGTTCAGGAAAAATTGAAGAAAGTCAGTCTTTCATGTTAAATATTATTGTTTTGAATTAAAAAGCAAAACAAAACAAAATGGTGAATCTAAATTGCCTATTTTCCACACTGCCTTTTAGAATATGAATTTGTGATCTCTTTGAGTTTCAGTTTCAAGAAGCCATGCCAAGGCATTTAATTGTTTTGTAAAAGCCAAATTAATCAATTTCTTGGTTGATAACAGTAGGAGTGGTGATATGATATATTTGGGGCTTGTTTAAGAACTTTTATAAATAATGTACATTTACAAATACAGTTAAATAAGATTAAGAATTATCATGACATCTTCCTCTAGGGAAAGTTCAATATAAAATATGTATTACATACCATTAATGAAAACCAACATTCTATGTCATTTACTCATGAGAAAAATCTTGAAAAAAATGACCTAAAACAGCCCTGACTCATTTCTATGAGCTGAATGACTCAAACATGGTAGGCAGATTTTAGGCTCCCTAATTTTAAAGTTTATGTTTTAAATTCAGAACTTTGTGTGAAGATGGAGTAAGTACAGCATATGCATTTCACACACTAGTCTGTTCCCATGTTACTGAAAGACTTTGCTTTGAAATAATAATCTTATATATCCTTTTAGTTTCTGAAACACTTAAACACTCACCAAGCTAGATAAATCATGGAGACAATGAAGACTAACAGTACAAATGCCCCAGCTGCGACACCATAAACCCAGGTCTTCACTCTTCCGTCTAAGAAAAACAGAAATTATTTATTAGTTTACATTAGTCTGGAACATATATGACAGGTTTGAACTATGACCCATGATCAGTCACATATGACCAGTTTTGTTCAAGACTCGATATGAATTCTTTCCTAGCACAGCTACCACTACCGTAAAGTAGATACTAGGGGTTAGGCAGCAGTGCATTCAGGGGAATTAGCAATGCAAACAGGTGAAAAGCAACAGATTGTGTTTATGTTCAGATGCTGAGTTCATGTCTAAACTCTTTATATGAAATCTCATCTCAAATTCAATATGTGCATAGTTCTAGTCACAGATGCTTTGACTTTTCATCTACTTCTGGAATGGTATATTATATTTAAAAGATTTTAAAAGTGCAGCTTTTGGGAAATACATAAACTCTGGAGTATCTGATGCCAATGGGTATTTGACCATTTCTGTTGATTTCATCAGTTTTGTAGCAGATGAAACTTAATACACTAAGATCACAATATTTTATCTAGTCTATATTTATAGTGTTGTAGTGATAGACAATAATAGAACTTGTAGAGATAATCATGTGGAATAACACAGCAATTTTGAAGTATCCTTTGCTAACTTATCTGATACGTGCAGTCACGTGTGACAGGCACTATTCTAGCTCATTTTTTGGTTTTGTAGTCCTTGAAGTGTTAGTCTCTGAGTAAACTTCAAACATGCGTTGCTAGGGATGATATTGCCTAACTTAATTTGATGCTAATATTAACATAGATTGTCTGTTGCCTATATACAAGTATGTAGGCAATATGTAGACAGAATGTAGACGGTACTCATATCACAATATATAATTATGAAAATTAGATGGGGACAAAAATGACCCTATGAGATTTATCCAAATTTTTAAAAGTATTAATGGTAATTAGTAGTAGATATTTTATTAATTAGAGGTCTGGTTGTTGGAAATAAATTCAGTTAATATTGTAAATATCATTTCCTTTTAAACTTGGAGATTTAAAAGTGCTTTCCCCCTCTTTTCTTTGTTTTTCCTTTTTTTGAATTGGGCTTGTAATCAAAAGAGCTATTATACTACTAGGTTTCCTTGCTGTGAAATTAACAAATATTAAAAAATGGGTGTCCACCTCTTTACTATTTTAATATGCTTATTTTTGGAAATTATTAAATATCGTGGAAAGAATACTTTAATTTAAATTGTGAAAAGTTGTTCTTATTTCTGGAGATCTGCTTAGATTCTTAGTTAAGGTCAAAATTGTTAAATGGTAATTTGCTCTCCTAACTTGGAGAGGAGAGTTTCTAAAATTTTTATAAACAAATCAGCTTTTCAAAACTCAATTGTATTTTCAGCTAAGAATCAAATAAAAGCAGTGACTATATGGATAAAGGTAATCACCCAGATATTTAAAACACCTTAAAAATTCAATATTGGTTCTCTAACAATGGAGATATTTTTACTTAATGGATCATGAATAGAGGTATGCTAGCTATTCAGATTTCTTCTTCATTTCTCGTGTTTGTAATGAAATTATAAAGTTGATTATGTCTGGCTTTGCATGGATCTTTTCCATGGTGAGAGAGAAAGAGGCAGAGTCCATGTTGCTTATGGAATACTAGTAGGGCACGTTTTATACCTGGGGACAAGTGTACACTATCTATTCCAGTTAGAGAGAGAAAGTGTGCAAAGTAGAGAGTAGTACTTCTTCATGTCTGTAGGCTTATTCCTATGTTGGATTCAAGTTCATTACTGGATATAGTAAGAGTATATATTGTAATATGACAGTGGTCTGATCTGTATCCAAGTTTGGATCATTCCATTAAGAAAGGAAGGTTCCAACACTGACTCTTAATATTTACACTAGTATGGATTCTGGGGCATCTGTGAACATCAGCTTTGGGGATGTTACTTATTGTTTTTCCACCTGAGTGTCCTTGGTATGGGACTGCATTGCTCATGCTCTTAATGAAGAAGGTTCACACCACTTACTCTATATGGTTAAACTGAAAACTCCAAATGTCTTTATAGTCTTATTTGTGCTTGTTGTAGGTGAAAACATATTTTTCCTAAGTATTTTCATTATTACATAGCTTTGTTCAATACATATTTATTATACTTATAACTTCAGGACTGAGCTTTAGATAAGTAATCTCAACATTAATTTTTTGAAGAAATTATTTTCATTTCTATGCATCTTGAGCAAGGTAAATATGATGGCATCGATGCAATAAAATGAATAAATGGGTTAAGAAATAATCATTTATTTGAAAATGCTTGGTTATTAGAAATAAATCTTGTGGCATTACTACTGGTGGAATGTCTAAGTAAAGAATTTTGTGTTCAGTGTCTGGTTGTTTCACCTGGCCCAAATGGCTGTAGAAACCAGGTCCTGCCCCGTCCTGCTGGGTTAGTGGAGGGTTGGGTTGGGTGAACTGCCCGACTGGTTTTCACATCTCCTCTTTTGTCCTCCACAGTGGGAATCACCACCACTGGGATAAGTGTACATTGCTCAAGGGTGCTGTTGGAGGACATGACTTCAGTGTACCCTTCTTCACAGCGACATGCCTTCATCTGCAGGAGAACAGTGAGGTTTACACTACACACACAAGGTGAACTTGGAAACTGTAACTAAGTTTACTTGGAAAAGGAACATTAGGAAGCTTTTTTATGAGAATTTACCACATGCAATTTCTGCTTTAGCTATATTAACCCAGCTTCCCCATGCTATGGTGCAAAGTCATTGCAAAGGTAAATAAATGAAGTACATTGAGAGTTGTTTACAAAGGTAAAAAGAGATGCTTTGAAGAGGATGGTTCCTGTCTCCAGTCATGGCCTTTCTGGGATAGGGGAGGGACTGTACATGAGACAGTGGGTGACAAATGATGGAGGTTGCTTGTCCATCTTAATGAATGTGCACGTACCTCACTACAGTATGAGTGGGGTTGACTGCATGGTGGGTTACAAGACCTGTCGGCATCAGGCTGGCTCACTACCAAGCAGCCCCCTGCAGAAGAGAAAATAATATTTTAACAAGTGGCTCCTTATGTCACACACACACACACACACACACACACACACACACACACTGTTATAGACTTGTCTTTGAAGTTTGAACCACTTGGGAAGCTCCAAGAATTTCTGCACTTGTGAAATGGCTTGCTAACTGCCATCCCTTTCATTAGTAACTTGGGAACTTTTACCCAGTTGACAGCACAGTAGCTTGTGCTATGTTAAGTATCGAAGACAAATTGTCAAGAGGCTGATTTTGTAGCTGTTATTTTTGAAACACTAGTTTCATATAACCTATTTCTGATAATAGGCAGACTAAAAATAGGTCACATAACCTATTTCCACAAGCCAAGTCCAGTAATAGGAAAACAAAACAGATTTACTTTTATTTTAAAATAAATACCTTTCTTGGCTACTCAAAATGGTCATTTTCATATCCCTCAAAGTAACTTTTTACCTTTTTTGTCCATTCCCCAAAAGTGTTTATTATAATGCATATTTATTTTGAGGAAAATAACTATTCTTGCTAGTTCCAGATACTGGTGGTTGCTGAGAAGGACGATGTGACAAGTAAGTCTTTGGCTTGAATTATTGCCCAACTTGGCATTGAAGTTAATTCTTCTAATTTATTTCTCACATACAATACAAACTGTGCGTTGCCTGTTATTGTACTCTTAAAAATGGAGACAGTTACCCTGAATAAACTGTATTGGTGATATAGATTGGACTTGTAGTTTCAAACTATACTTACTCAGCTTAACAAAACTTTAGCTAAACAAATACTTTTCTTTATTTATTGGGCTCTAGTCATTTGGATCCAATCAAAGGTTCCCATCATCAATTCTTTGATTTTCTTTTAATCTTATAAATTCTTGTTTATAAGGCTTTATGCACTCATTCTTTCATATTTAAAAATACATACAATAGGATACAAACAAAAGCTATCATGTCACAAAAACAGTTAGTCATTGCCAGGCAAATGCAGTTTAGTGACCACACTGTCTACTACTAAACATATGAAGGGAAAGGAAAGAAACCGTGTGGCTTTCTTGTGAGATGAGACAATCTAGAAATTAACCCTATTGATCCACATAGACAATGCACTTTACATTTGTTTTTATAGGAAAAATCATCTAAACGGCAGAAGAAGAGTGTATCCAGTGTTTATCATAAGTTATTTCACATTACCTTATTGGCAACAGAGAAAAATAATTGTATATCAACTTTGTTGTATTGAAATAAATTTAAAATGTGATTTATATGGATGAATCTAAATTTTGACTTAACTTTGATTTGGGGAACAGTCTCAGTTGCAGTAGGAAAACAACAGTGTTAGAAGAAAAAGTAAAATATTCTTTGCTTCTATATTTGAAAGAAAAATAAAACCTTAAATCAAGTAGAACCCTTTATGAAACTATCAATTTATTTGCGAATCACTTAAAGAATGATGTATATTCCTTCCCAGGATCTGAGCTAAGTGAATGACTTCTGTAACACCTGGTTTGGAGTGGCTATGCTTTCTTGTCTGTGCTTTTTATTACCCATTCCTCTTCAAATGGAATTCAGGTTGACTGTTTTCCTTCCCCAAATAATATTGTTCAGACAGCAAAGAGCTTCCTGGTAGGAGTGGTTTCTATTATATATTGTATGTCCACTGGGAGATGCTATTATCAAAGGCTTTTGATTCATGAAAAATCCTGTCTTCATAAGAATATAATTTGACATTCTGTTCTGGCTTTCATGGGGAAGAAATAAGGAATTAGGTTTCAATAAACCTGGGTCACTTGAAACTCAATATAAAAATTGATGTTTTCCAAGAAGCGCATTGATCCTGGCTGGATCCTATGATCTCACTGTATATATGAAAGTTAACTCACAAGCAGAGTTGCTCAGGAGCACCTTAGTGCATACTACTTTGTTTTTCTTGCAGAAGAGTTGAAGCAAAAGCTCCAAGTCAGCAGGTTGCCTGGGCAGCTGACAGTCAATATACCTCATGTCTCGGACATGGAGATTCTTAACAGCTAAATTATTTTTAAAATGATAATTAAGAAAAAAACATTTTAAGTTTGTGTTCATGTGTCTGAAGTTGAGGTTCTGCTTCTGACCTTGATTTTTTCTATGAAATTTTCAGGATATTCAATGCATAATCAGACTGAAGTTGTTTTTCCCTTTAATAGGTGTTGGGAATGAGCCCTTGACTTCACTGAGTTCACAAAGAGCAGGTAGATTAAAGAAGTTCACTGGAGATATCTTTGAAAAACCTTGCTATGATTTTCTTCTTTGGAAGTATAAAAGTCGTTTGTGATGGGGGACATAGCAAATGTTCCCCTTAGATGCCCTGGATTTGAATTTACTGATAAATCTTTCTTATTAATCAAAAATTGTCTTAATAATGGATTTGATATTTCAGGTAGATTGTGTTTATACATGTATAATACCTTGATCAGTATCATGTTCAAAGCACAGAAGTAGAAATAGTAAAAGACATAATTATTATTTTGTTTGCATATAGTAATTTGTTAATGTATAAAATGTCTAGGAAAAATCAGGAGACCACTTATATTCACTTATTCATTATATTCATTAGTATTGAGCAGTACTTCAGTTAAATATATTCTAATGTTCAAAGGTGATATGCAAGAGAACTTGAGATATTTTAAAATAAAATATTTGTCACTGGACAACACACATGTGTACAACACAAATTTCTTTATTGCAACTGTATCAACAACTGAGTATCCTTCAGTATTCAACTACATATGTGTCACAGGAATAGATTCAGAAAAACAAGATGTTTTACCTGTTACATTCACACCATCTGACCTTTGACACCAGACTGTTCGAGAGGAGCCCTTCCAAGCACTTGCCATCCACTTGTACTCGTAGCACTGTCCATCTGCAGGCAAACAGCAAGCACTGATGTTTCATTACTCAGAGCCATCATGAGAGAGAGAGTTATCAACACATGAATGAACAACTGAAAGGTGACATGAAGTCTATTGCTGAGGATTACAGTGTCAATGGACTGCCTGGAAGTTACAAAACAAGTTGGATAAAACTGCAGTTATCAACCTAAGTCCCCATTAAGGTTCCACATTTTCTATCCTGCTACCATGTCAGACCCTGGATGTCTAATTTAATTTATGGTTAATTATAAAGTTTTATAATTTTTAATAGACTGGAAATTGAACATACAGACAAATACAGAAAATAACTAACTATAAAATATATTCAACTGTACCCTGGAACAAACTGGTATAGGAGACCACTTACTGAATGAATTGGTATAGGAAACCACTTCCTGAATATAACACCAGTAGCACAGACATTGAGAATGACAATTAATAGTGGGACTTCCTGAAACTAAAATGCTTCTGTAAGGCAAAGGACACAGCCAAGAAGACAAAAGAGCATCCCACAGAATAGGAAAAGATTTTTACCAACCCCACATCTGACAGAGGGCTGATTTCCAAAATAAACAAAGAACTCAAGAAGCTAGTCACCAAAACACCAAATAATTCAATTAAAAAGTGGGGTGTGGTGATATCTTTCTTGCATAAATAAAGCCTGTCTGGCGGTCAGAGAATGGCACTTGCCACTAGCTAACCATAGAGGTCTGTTCAAACAGACAGGAAGTTACAGAGCTGGGCAGAAACTTGCCACTAGCTAACCATAGAGGTCTGGAAGTCTGTATATACAGAAAGGAAGTTACAGAGCTGGGCAGAAACTGCCACTAGCTAACAATAGAGGTCTGGAGGTCTGTACAGACAGGCAGGAAGTGACACAGCTGGGCAGAAACATGATATAAGCAGGGACAAACAGGAAATCACTCTCCTCTCTGTGGAGATGATTAAGAGGTAAGGGGTGCTGTGTCTTGCTCCTTCTCTCTGATCTCCAGACAGGCTTTATTTGTGCAAGTCAGATATCACCACAATGGGGTACAGAACTAAATAGAGAATTCTCAATAGAGCAATCTAAAATGGCTGAAAGATCCTTAAGAAATTGCTCAACACACTTAGCCACCAGGGAAATGAAAATCAAAAGAACTCTGAGATACCATCTTATACCTGTCAGAATGGCTAAAATAAAAAACACCAATGACAGCTTATGCTGGAGAGGATGTGGAGAAAGAGGAACACTTCTCCGTTGCTGTTAGGAGTGCAAACTTGTACAGCCTCTTTGGAAATCAGTATGGCAGTTTCTCAGGAAAATGGGAATCAGACTACCACAAGATCCAGCAATTCCACTCTTAGGCATATACCCAAAAGATGCACATTCATACCACAAGGACATCTGTTCAACTATGTTCAGAGCAAAGTTATTTGTAAAAGCTAGAACCTGGAAGCAACCTAGATGCCTCTAAATGGAAGAATGGATAAAGAAAGCATTTACACAATGGAGTACTACTCAGCAGAAGAAAACAATGGAATCTTGAAATTCGAAGGCAAATGGATGGAAATAGAAGAAACTCTCCTGAAAGACGTAATCCAGTCACAGAAAGACAAACAGTATGTACTCACTCATAAATGGATATTAGACATAGAACAAAGGATAACCAACCTACAATCCACAACCCCAGAGAAGGCGGGAAACAAGGAGGACCCTAAGAGAGACATATATGGTACCCCAAAGAAGGGGAGAGGAACAAGATCTCCTGAGAAAATTGGGAGCACTGGGGGAGTGCGAAGAGGAGAAAGAAGAGGGAGAAGTGGGGCAGGAGAACATGAGCCACCAAGAATATTGAATTGGGGGAAGAATAGAGAAGGAGAGCAAGAAAAGAGATGCCTTAATAGAGGGAGCCATTATAGGTTTTTTTTTTCAGATTTTTTTATTTGAATTAGAAACAAGATTGTTTTACATGACAATTCTAGTTCCCTCTCCCTCCCGTCCTTCCCTACCACCACCCCTAACTAAAACCCTACCTATCACATATCCTTTCTACTCCTCCTGGATGGTGAGGCCTTCCATTGGGTGTCATCAGAGTCTACCTTATCCTTTGGGATA